ATTGCGTTCTAGACCTCACTAGGCCCTGGTGCTTTGCGTGGACTGGTCTGCAGTTACCGCTCTGATTTCATCTCCTGCTCCTCCTCCCCTCACTCCCTCCCGGCCAGCCACCAAGGCATCCTCATCTCACCTCGGGACCTTTGCATCTGATATTCTCACTGGCATGCCCGCCCCTTCCCTGGCAACCTCATTTCCTCAATTCTTTTGGATCCTTACTCAGAAGCCAGCCTCTCAGCAAGGCATTCTCTGGCCACTGCAACTGAAATGTCACTTCCTCATCTTCTGCTGCTTATCACTAGCTAACTATTGATTAACCTTTAAAAACTTATTTCCTCTCAGCCTTTTATTAGGAAAAAGTTAAACACAAAAGTCGAAAGAATTACACAGCAACGATTCATATACCCGCCACATAGATCTGGTCTACAATTAACATTTCCTATACTAGTTACTTTATCTCATAGCCACCTGTTCATTTGATCCGTGTTATTTTTCAATGCCTTTCAAGGTAAGTTGCACATCATCAATGACACTTCCCCCTAAATACTTCAGCATGTATGTCTTTAACTAGAGTTCATTATTTATTCATGGCTCCTTTTTAAAAAATAAATTTTACTTAGAGTGAAATGCACAGACCTAAGTGTACATAGATACTTCTGATAAATGAATATACTACTAAGAGACTCTGAACATTGCACCATCCTAGCAAGCTGCCTCATCCTCGTCCCCAACCTCTACTCTCCAACTCCCAATCTAGATCTGATGTTTTCTCCATACATTGATTAGCTTTGCTTGTTCTATAATATCCTATAAATGAAATCACACAGCTCTTTTATGGAAGGCTACTTTTAGCTATCAAGCTAACTCAGGCTCAGTTTGGCCAAGAAAAACTGGCTAAATATCAATAATTCTCACATCTGTTTTTCCTGCTCAATCCTGTGGACCATGACCCTCTGCTCGAACCTTTATTTTTAGTGTTGACTTAAAAAGCATTCTGAAAAGCAGTCTTGCCGGATTTTTCCTACTCAGTGGTTAGTAAAAAATGCCCTCGGGCCAAACCCTGTTTAGTAAACAAGGTTTTACTGGAACACAGTCACACCTAGGCATTTAGGTATTTTCTATGGCAGAGGTCTGGTTATGACACAGAATGGCCTCCAAAGTGTAAAATCTTTACCATCTGGACCTTTGGAGAAATTTTGCAGACCCCTGTTCTAAACTGACACTGCAGGGTTTTTTGTTTGTTTAAATATATTTTTATTAATTTCAGAGAGGAAAGGGGAGGGAGAGAGAGAGATAGAAACATCAATGATGATAATCACTGATTGGCCGCCTCCGGCACGCCCGGAACTGGGGATAGAGCTTGAAGCCCAGGCATGTGCCCTTGACCGGAATCGAACCTGGAACCCTTTAGTCCACAGGCCAACGCTTTATCCATTGAGCCAAACCAGCCAGGGTGACACCACAGTTTTAATTACCCTTCCTACATAAAACGTAACTCAGATATGGCTACTTTGTAAGGATCTTTTCTTGAGGAGTCAGGATTTGGCATCATTCTACTTCCTTTAAAAAGTATCAAAGATTAATCAACCAACCCAGAATTGGGACTCAAAATGAGGACTAAACACCATACAGAGCTCTGAATAGATCTAGAATAACTAAATATTTAGCAAGGAAAAGAGTTAAGTACTGGTAGAATAGACATTTGTTGGCTGTCTCTCCATTCCTCTCCATTGGCTCCCAATGTTTTTTCTTCAAGGCAAGCAAATTCTAGGTTCGCTTGCCTTGAAGAAAGGCAAATTCTGTGGTTTTTTATATTGGTTGTAGACCTTAAGGAAAAATTCTGAAAGCAGCTAACAAGACTCACTAAATCTTGTGTTCAGCAGACTAGTCTTAGTTCTTTTGAGTGCTCTTCATAGGAAATAGTTTCAAGTCACTTTATTAATCTGATTGTCATATCTCAAACTCTAATTCTGTACTCTGATCAGTGAATGGAATTATCACCTCTCATTCTATATGCAGTAGCTCATATTCAGCTTATTAAAACACTCAGTTTTCCACACACGCTGCAGATTTATATTTGCCCATCTTATACTTTTATATTGCCTTCAAGTCTAAACACAAGACTCGGAGTGGCCTGATTAGCTCTCCTTACTACCCTAAGGAGTGTACCATTCTAGTGTCTGGAATACTGTTACCATTTTGAGTTACATTATACTCAGAAGCAGACATCCTCCCCACTAGGTTTGCATGCTGGGTTACTTAAATTCTGTCAATGATACACTTAAAAATCACCTAACAGCCCTGGCCAGGTGGCTCAGTGGGTTGGCGTGTGGTCCCATACACAAAAAGATTTGCGGTTTGGTTTCCCAGTAAGGCACACACGTAAGATGTGGTCTGATCCCCGGTGGGATGGGGCACGTACTGGAGGCAACCGATCTGTTTTTCACTTCACTCAACATCTACTGAATGCCTGGATACTGTTCTCATCAATGAGATCAATAAAACAGGGAAGTGAACTGCCCAGAGGACTTTATGGCTTACCTCACTGAAGGAACACTCACTGATTTCATCCTACATAGCATGCTGCTTTATAAAGAAAGTCCGGGTGTTACTTATTCCTACACTCTCTCCATTCTTTGCAAACCAAGTGCTCAGGCCTGTTTAATGAATTGCAAACTAAGTGCTCAGTAATGTTTAATGAATAAGGGCGCCATACCCTCACTTCTACAGAAGACATACCTGCAGCAAACACCTGTAGTAAGGCTTTACTCCCTGCATCGCTGGAAACAGCTAACAGGAACTCTCAAACGCACCCACAAAACAAAAGTAGGTTCACGAAGGCAGAAAGCACACCGGAAGGATAAGGTAACTCTTTACCCTGGGCTAACAGATGATAGAAACAGAAAATTCAAGGATGCACAGTGGAGATGAAGACGAAATTAAATTCCAAAACAGTAAAAAATCCTATTTTCCCCACTAACACCAGCCGACTCCCTCGTGGTTTCCACCCCATCAAGCAAAAAAGCTCCGGCATCAAAGACCGCCGGGGGCTCTCCCGTGCAGAAGCCCCTGCAGAAACCGCGCAGAACGGCCTATGCCCCGCCACGCCCCCGCACAGGCCCCCTTGCGCCGCGGCCGCCAACCGGCGGGGAAGCGCCCGGAGGCCTCCGCTCCGGCGCGGCGAGGGCAGCGCGCTTAGGGACCGGGAGGCAGGTGGGCGGAGAACGAGCGTCTCCCGACTTCGCAAGCCCGATCCCCCGAGAAAGCGGGTGATCGGCAACCCCGGGCTGCGAGCGGCGCACCAGAGGGTCCCGGGACAGGGCGCAGGCCGGCCGGGTGGGCCGCAGACCCCCGCCCCCTCCAGAAGCCGTTAGCGCCGCGGCCCCACCCCTCGCGACCGGCCGCGCCCCGTCCCACGCGCCCCGAGCCGCTACCCCGGCCGATCGCGGCCCGAGGCATCCGCTCGCCGGAGGAGGGCCGGGCTGGCAGCCGCGTCGGGGAGGTCGAGGAGCCGGGCTCCCATACCTGCACTTTCCTCCGCCCGGCCGTGTTCTGCCGGTGATGGGCCGCCATCTTGCATGTTGACACTCCTACGTCACTTCCGGAAGTGGCGCGGTCCGGGCGGAAGTCGCGCCTCTTCCCCTCCGGCCGAGGGCCGGCGGCGAGGCGAGGCGGGGGTTAGGCTCCCTGTGGCCGGGCCGGCGGCCCTGTGGGCGGGTAGACGGACCGGAAAGTTGTCGGGCGAGCGACATGCCGTAGGGAGCTGGTTTCCGAGCCGAGGGAGCATCCAACCCCGTTGTGTGCGCCTCTCCCCCGGCGGGTTCTCTCCCCGGTGCCACCTCCAGAGGCCCCAGCGGCGTGAGGGAAGCGCTGGAAGAATTAACAGTGCGGGCCATGGGCGGCTTGGACAGAAACCCTCCCCCCCTCCCCGCAGTTTTCCTAGATTAACCAAGGGAACCCGCAGATTTGCCATGACACCCCCTAAACTGGTTTGAAAGGAGGAAGACTGTAAAGGAGGCGGCCCCCATCTTCTGGAGGAGCCAAGTATTTGTTTACGAGTTAAAAGGATACCGTGTTTCCCTGAAAATAAGACATCCTCCGAAAATAAGACCTACTTACAAGTTTCCTTCTGAGTGAAATATAAGGCATCCCCCCGAAAATAAGGTCGTCCGTACCCCCTTCCCCCCCCCAGGCAAAACATGAGAGATTTGGTCCACTGATTCTGAAAGAAATGGAGTCACAAGAAATTCACCAGGAAATTCAGGAATTGGATTGTGATGATGATGTTCCAGATGATGATGACATGATTGTCATTGAATAAATGAGTAAATTCTTGATACTGTAGGATTCAGTTTGTCTGGTTTGTGTTGACAACTACCGTACTACCGTACCGTATACAGGTAATAAATTTCCTTTATTTTCATTTAACAATAAATGTGTACCCTATTCTTCATGGAAAAATAAGACATCCCCTGAAAATAAGACCTAGCGCATCTTTGGGAGCAAAAATTAATATAAGACACTGTCTTATTTTTGGGGAAAGAGGGTAGTAGGAAGCTGAAAAAATACATACTGCCTAAACATGTTCTCCCGGACAACTTATTATTTTTTTAAAATACATTTTACTAATATATATATTTATTTATTTAACAGAGAGGAAGAGAGAGGGACAGGGAGTTAGAAATATCGATGAGAGAATCATCGATCAGCTGCCTCCTGCACATTCCCCACTGGGGATGTGCCCGCAACCAAGGTACATGCCCTTGACCGGAATTGAACCTGGGACCTTTCAGTCCACAGGCCAAGGCTCTATCCACTGAGCCAAACTTGTTGCGGCCGGGACAACTTATTTTTAAAATATATTTTATTGATTTTTTACAGAGAGGAAGGGTGAGGGACAGAGAGTTAGAAACATTGATCAGCTGCCTCCTGCTCACCCCCTACTGGGGATGTGCCCGCAACCAAGGTACATGCCCTTGACCTGACAGGGACCCCCTCAGTCCGTTGGCCTGGGACAACTTCTTAAGTTGCAGGCGCTGAAGGAGTTGGGTTCGCTCTAGAACCTGGTTTAAATCACCTCATCCCGAGAAGCCCTTGTGGGTGAAGGTTTGACTTGGAGTTTTCCGGACACGTCTAGGTGCCAAGGACATGAGACTCTGGTGAAAGTGAATCCTTTGGAACCACCCTGCCCCCAATATAGCATCCAGGAGGCATGTGTGGCCAGTGCGCACTTGAAACATGGCCAGCTCGAATTGGGATATGTAACTAAAATGCCCACCACATTTCAGAAACTTAGTGCAAAGAAAAGGATGCAAAGAATTTCAATAATTTTCATACTGGTTACATGTGGAAATGATAATGTTTTGGATATATTGGGTCAAATAAAGATTCTTATTTTTTTACTTTTTATAACATGGCTATTAGTATATTTGAAGTTTCATATGTATTCACCTTTTTGTATAGTGCTAGGATAGATATAATGCTTAGGAAAGTTCTTGTCTAGACAAATGCCTTTTTAAGTTAATAAAGAAATGCAAATTAGAAGAGTAGAAACGAAAGGCAGAAAGCTTCGTAAGCAAAACTGGCAGTGATAACTTGTAGGAAAATTACCTGTACTGCATTTTATTACAGACACATTTATTTATTCATTTATTCAAATATTATTTAGCACCTAGTAAGTATCAGGCACTATATTAGGTACAGGGAATCGGTGTTAAGTGCACATAGTCATAGAACTTAGAATCCTGGGTACGATGGGCATTAAACATATAAATGAATATGGAGATAATTACAGTGAAGAAGGATGCTTATAAGACAGGTAATGATCCTTGAGTCAAGATCTGAGGATGGCGTTAAGGAGAGGGAATGGTCTGAGCAAAGATCTTATGGCAGGAGGGACTGTGGAATGTATATATCCTAAAGAAAGGCCGAACAGTGGTTCCATTGATTTGGAGCTGAGAATGCTATCTATTTTGCATGTCTTGTGTCACTGGATAGTCAAGAGAAGGAGAAGGACAAGGTTATGGTATTGGTGGGAGTGATTAATCCTGATAACCAAGCAGAAATAGGTTTGCTGGTATACATAAGCACTCAGATTCCTTAGAAATCAGACACACAGATTCTTTTTTTTTTTTTAATATTTTATTGATTTTGTACAGAGAGGAAGGGAGAGAGATAGAGAGTTAGAAACATCGATGAGAGAGAGTCATCGATCAGCTGCCTCTTGCACACCCCCTACTGGGGATATGCCCGCAACCAAGGTACATGCCCTTGACCGGAATCGAACCCGGGACCTTTCAGTCCCCAAGCCGACGCTCTGTCCATTGAGCCAAACCGGTCTTGGCAGACAGACACACAGATTCTTTAGAAATGAAGGTATTAGTTGAAGGTAAAGGGAACACAGAATGGCTGGTAAAGCAAGGAAGTCAGAATGGAGGTAAAATCCTCATGATCAGAGAAACAAATGAGAGGTGTCATCTCTACTTGTATTTCTTTTATCAATGTACTAGAGGCCCGTTGCACAAAATTTGCGCAAGGGGCTAGGCCCTTGCAGCTGCTGCGGCTTGCCTGGGTCTTGCAGCTCTGGCTTCATCCGGAATGACATCTGGAAGGTTGTGCGGCTGTCTGGTCTAATTAGCATATTATGCTTTTATTATTATAGATTATAGATCATGTATACTTTTATATGTTTTAACATTTATTTATTTATTTATTTATATCTCCCCCTTTCTCTTCCCTGCCTCTCTCAACTTCTATTTTCTTTCTTTAGCTTTTACTTCGCTTTTGTTAGTAGGGTGGGCTATTGTTGGTAAATTTCATTATTTAGTCCATAAGTTACAGAGGAATGGATATCACCGTGAGGTTCTAAACTTAGAAATGGATGGACAGATGTGGTAACTGATGAAACATTGGATTGACTTCCTCAGAGGGTGACAGTGAGTATGCCTTTGGTTGTGTGAAGAATAGTTGCAGTATTCTAAGTGACAACTTTTTTTGACATATAAACATTGAAAGCGGTGGTTATATTGGTGTTGGGCAGCTAAAAGGATGACTTCCTTGACATTTTTGTGGTTTTACTTACTGCTGTTCATCATTTGAATTCTCTTTCTGTGTTGGAGGAATTCCCCGCTATGTGCCTTGGTGGTGGTGAGCACTGCTTACAGAAAATGAAAACGACAGTTACTCACTTCTTTTTTTCTAGCCTTTTACAGCAAGAATGTGTGCATGTGATTAATCAAATGACATCTCATCTGTAACTTTATGAGAAACTCTGAGTCAGCACCATTCAGCCAAACTGATCCCAAATTCCTGATCTACAGGAACTGTATGAGATAATAGATGCTGACTGAAGTGTCCTAATGGTATAGGGTAATTTATTATGCTGCAATAGATAACTAATACATCCTCCCTTTTCCACAAGGAGGGGAAATGTCAGAGCACCTCCACAACTCTGCAAAGATATTTTCACCATCAGCCTCATCAAACTCCATTTAATTCTTTGTCTTCTCTTGTGTAACTGCCAGGGGGCTTATCCTGTCGGAATTCCTCTTGGCATTTCCTGCATAGAAAGCTTGGCATCGCTATTCAAAATGTAAGAAGGCTTGACACCTATTATATTGTTCTCTGATTTTGAGAACTCTCCTTAACGACAGCATGAAAACTTGACATCCTGCCAAAAAAAAAAAAAAAAAAAAAAAAAAAAAAAAAAAAATGCACACACATATTAAATAAAAATGCAGAAAAATTTAAAAGTAAATATGAAGCCTGGCCAATGTGGCTCAGGGGTTGAGTATCCATCTATGAACAAGAGGTCATTGTTCTATTCCTGATCATGGCACATGCCTGGGTTTGGGCTCGATCCCCAGTGTGCGGTATAGGCAACCAATTAATAATTCTCTTCTCCCTCTCGTTCTTGCTCTCCTCCCTCCCTCCTCCCCTTCTCTATCCCTCCCCCTTCTCCTCTCTATCCCTCCCCCCTCTCCTCTCTATCCCTCCCCCTTCTCTCTATCCCTCCCCCTTCTCCTCTCTATCCCTCCCCCTTCTCCTCTCTATCCCTCCCCCCCTCTCCTCTCTATCCCTCCCCTTCTCCTATCTATCCCTCCCTTCTCCTCTCTATCCCTCCCTCTCTCCTCTCTATCCCTCCCCTTTTCCTCTCTATCCCTCCCCCTTCTCCTCTCTATCCCTCCCCCCTCTCCTCTCTATTGCTCCCCCTCTCCCTCTTTATCTTTTTCCCTCTCTCTCCCCTTTCCCCTTTCCCCCATCTTCTTCTCTTTCCTCTCTGAAATAAATAAAAATATATTTTTTAAAAATAAAAGCAAATATGAATCCTAGAGGGCTTCTGCTTCCAAATAAACCAGGCTTGTTCTCGTTAAATCTTGCTCTGAGAGGTTGGTCCTTCCCTCTGCCAGTTACTTAAGCAAATAATAAACTTCGGTTTCTTTGTAAAGTAGAATAAAAACATTACATATCTCAAGGTAAATGAAACAATCTTAGCACAGTACCTGGTATGTGGGAAATCAATATATTTCAGGTATTATTTTTAATCATCACCTTGTTCAGGAAACAACCACAGGAGGTTGTCCGGCCACAGGAGGTTGGCTGTGGGAATGCACTGACCACCAGGGGGCAGGTCCGGCGTTGAGCATCTGCCGCCTGCTGATCAGTGTGTTATCATAGCAACCAGTCAACCAGTCATTCCGTAGATCAGTCATAATGGTCGCTTAAGCTTTTATATATAGAGTTTTTTTTTTTTTTAATATATATGTTTTTATCAATTTTAGAGAGGAAGGGAAATGGAAATAGAAACATCAGTGATGAGAGACAATCTTTGGTTGGCTGCCTTCTGCGTATCTCCCACTGGGGATCATGCCCACAACTTGGGCATGTGCCCTGACCTGGAATTGAACCGTGACTTTCTGGTTCATAGGTTGATGCTCAACCACTGAGCCACACCAGCTGGGCTCAATTGGATATTTTAAACATTAATTTTAGCCTTAGCCAGGTATCTCAGTTGGTTAAAGCATTGTCCTGATATACCAAGATTGCGGTTTTGATCTCTGGTCAGGGCACATACAAGACTCAACCAATGTATATGTAAGTAAGTGGGACAACAAATTGATGTTTCTCTCTCTCTCTCAAAAAAAAATCAATAAGTAAAATATTTTTTTTAAAAAAATATCAACTTTAAAAAGAATAGGATCTTAATGCGGAATTGCTAAGTAAATAAACTTCTTTGTGTAGGCTGTGTTATCAATCAGATTTGTGGAGAAATTGAGAAGCTGCATAATATCCTTATAACTCTTTAATGGTTCTCTATCAGGAAGGCTGTTATATATAGTAGACTACAAGATTATCCTATATAATAAAGGCCAATATGCAAATTGACCGAACAGTGGAATGACCTGTCACTATGACACACATTGATCACCAGGGAGCAGACACTCAATGCAGGAGCTTCCCCCTGGTGGTCAAGTGTATTCAGCCACTCAGCCAGAAGCCCTGAGCCAGGCAAACGGCTGGCAAGTGCTAAGGGATGTCCAACTGACGGCTTAGGTCTGCTCTCCAGGCGTAGGCCTAACCTGTCAGTTGGGCATCCCTTGAGGGCTTGTAGACTGTGAGATGGTGCAGGCCAGGCTGAGGAAATGCCCCTGAATGAATTTCATGCACCAGGCCTTTAGTAATTAAATAAGTTTGCATAAGTAAAACACTATCGTATAAACAAATATAGAGACACAGAATCACAGAATGCTTGAGATGTTTGTCAATAGTTGTGTGCTATTTTGTCTTGTCAGCAAATCTTCAGGTTTAAATACATTCTTAGAGGGCATGGAATTAAATGGCTCATCATTCCACAATGCATTTATTTTTTAACACATTGGGAAAAAATAGACGTTAGTTCTTTTATCTCTTTCTGTCTATGTTTTTTAATGTCTATATATTTTTTACAATATTAGAAATACTAACCAATCCCTTTTCCATTCCAAAAATGTTTCAGTCTTTGTCTAACTTATCCACTGGAGGGCAGTAGAGAACCATTCAGGCCATCCTTGATTTTGGACCTTCCAGACTCTTATCTGGTAAGTCAGACCTTAAAATTTAATACATATTTCCTGCTGATAAAATGCCACAATCAAAGTACCTTTTTAGGAAATCTATTTGGTCGCCTAAAATCACAAATGTAATTTTTTTGTGGTGGGACTTTTACACAGGAGCTGAACTGAGTGAGGCTTCCTAAAATGCTAGGCCGCAAAAGTAGAATGGGTGTGATTCGTATCCCACAAACTGATATATTTCATGCACTAGTGGGGGTATCCCTCAGCCCGGCCTGCGCCCTCTCACAGTCCAGGACCCCTTGGGGGATGTCCTCCTGCCTCCTTAGCACTTCTACGGAGGCGGAGGCGGGAGAGGCTGCTGCCACTGCCAGCCATGAGCCCGGCTTCTGGCTGAGTGGTGCTCCCCCTGTGGGAGTGCACTGACCACGAGTACGCATCATAGCGAACAGTCCTTCTATGGGTAGTTCCTCAATTGGCTCGATTTGCATATTAGGATTTTATTATATAGGATGTCATATTAGATTGTTAAAATTAACTATAATTTGAGCTCACAGCCAATCAAAATGATGGGAAAGTAAACCTCAGTCATTGTTAAGGCTCTCTGGCTACTGTAATCCACTCTAAAGTTACTCATCAATCCCAGGGGTCATATACTGGAGGCACCAACAATTCTCAGGCTATACTGGTTACTGCTGAGAGGCCCAGTGTTGTTTGAAAATGAACAGGCCTCTGGCACTGGGCTTTTTTTTTTTTTTTGGTTACAGCTAGAAATCCCAGTGTCCAGGCCCCACCTCCCTAAGATTACCTGCCATCATTGACCAGCTTCTATCACCAGCCTGGATGCTTTCAACAGCAGTCACAGTCCTTGACCTTGCAGAACCTCTCCTGCTCTTACTGACTTCTTCTCTGGCCTACCAAGAGAATTCATTAGTCCCCTGCACACCTGTTCCCACCCAGATTCACAGCTCAACTTCTTCAGGAAGCTTGGGCTCTCACTAAAGGCTAGACCAGGGGTAGTCTTTAAGAGCTTCTGCTTAAGGCCCAGTAATACAAAGCACTTCTGAGATCAGCAAGCACTATGGACCAGCAATCATCAGCACAAGGTTGGGAAGGAAGGAAAAGTACAGCAAAAACAAAATACACTCTAGTGTTTCTACCAATTATCCTCCGCAGAAGCTGGAATTGAAGACAATTTCCCCCTAAGTAATCGCCCTACAAAAACCACAGGCATTCTTTATGCTTCTAAACACCTTCAAAGTGCATTCAAAATTATGGTTGTGAGTCTGTAAATCTTCCTTTGCTAATTTGTTGTACATGAATGCCCGCAGAAGCTTTTGAATGGTAAATGCTGTGGGAGGGGCAGTTTCCATGGTGACTGTTCAATGCACCCTTTTTTCTTGCACTCACTCTTGTTAGATCTTCATTGCTGATCTGCTGTGAATTAGAAGGTAACAGCTTAATCACATCTGGAGGGCAGGAAGAGATGTGAGAGAGGCAGCCTTTCTCTACACAGCCACATCCTGAACCCACTGAGTTGGACTATGCTTGCCTTGTGCCATTTCTTCTTCATGGTTGCCCTGGCCCCTCTGTAGAAAAATGTACTTGCCAACACACATGACAAAGAGCCAATTTCCTTATTAAAGAAGGAGAGCTTATAAGTGACTATGAAACATACCATAATGCAATAGGAAAAGGACAAAATAGGCAAAGGACATAAACAGGTAGCTTATAAGAAAAGAAAATGAATGGCTTACATTGTCTGAAAATATACTTAATTTCATTCATAATAAAGGAAACACTTAAATTAGATTTCATTTTTCACCTACCAGGTTGAAAAAGATCTAAAAGTTTGATAATGTATAGTGTTCAGAGAAGGTGGGAAACCCA